TGTGGTGGCTGCTGGCGCTCGCGTTGGTCGTCGAGGCGGTCAGGCACCGAGGCGGCCCCGAGGCGGTCGTGGCACCGAGGGGGCCCCGAGGCGGTCGTGCACCGAGGGCTGTTTCGAGGCGCCCCCGCGCCGCCGAGACGCGGAGCGGCCCGCCGCACCGCGCAGCCTCGAGAAGGCCCCGGAGTTCATCAGGACTCGCCGCCTCCTCCGGTGGTAGAGGGCTCGCATCGCCGGACCAAAGATGCCGCCGCAGCAGCGACGCTTCGCTAGCGCGATTGAAGACAGGGGTTGCTCGCGCCCTTCATCATCGCGCACGCGGCGGTTGACGCCGCGAGCCCCCACCGGGCCGTTCCGCCATCGCCGCGCCGCCGCTTCTTGCTCGAGGGTGGCTCGGAGTTGCCGCAGAGGAGTCGATCTTGCTCGACCTTGGCTTGAAGCTCACGGAGCCGCTTCTCAGGTCTGGCGCGTCAAAGTTGCTCGGGGGGTGGGATACCGCCGCTACCGGGCGGGGACCCCGTGCGTGGTGGTGTGGGCATTGCGCCCTCCATCATCGTTGCCCGTGCTCGGCATTCCGAGTCCGACGTGGAAACACTCACGAAGTCGGGTCGTAAGCGCCCTCGCCGTCGGAATCGGAATGGCCGGGCAAGAGTCGTTTGCGATCATGAAGCGGTGCATCGCCTCGTGGTCACGAATCCCGGAGAAGTTCGCTCCAACCCACGCCCCGCCCTCCTCCGAGGAGTCGAGGGGGTGGATTGAGTTGTGACTATGGGGTTATGGGCATGACGTTGATGAATGGAGACGAGGGCGGTGGCGAGGAGGCGGGCGGCATTGGTCAGCCCGAAGGGTACGGGATGGCGCCGCCGCCATGCTCTCGCTCCGCCGAGCCTGGCTCCTCGGGAGGAGGCGGATGAGCTTGATGATGGGTGTCGCCAGGCGCCACCGCCCTTTTCCCCTATCGAGGCTTAAGCCGACAGTCCCCGTCGCAGGACTCGTGTGCTAGCAAATGGGTATGGGATTCGGTGGAGCACAGATCGGCGCTCAGATTTTGCGTGGTGTTAGGTGGACTCGCCGCGCGCGGCGCCGGCGAGCTTGACGGGAGCAATGGCGGCGCGCCCCCCATCACGCGGGCTGCCGTGCAAGACGTCGTCGTTGGTTGATAGCGCCTGGGTGAGAGGAGTACCATGTCGCATTTCGCGTGCCCTAGAGACATGAATTTAGGTTCTCGAAACCGCAGACGATCGTCCCGAGACGCAACGATCGCACGGATCTCGCCATCCGAATCTGGTGGGATGACTAAGTCGACACGCAGAGGCTCCCTACTGGCGCGCTAACCGCCGGTGTTTCGGAACCGGGGTCCTTAACCGACTAGTGAATTTGTGTCGCGTGCTCCCAATTCGGATGGAGATGCAAAGAGACACAAGGTTTATATCGGTTCGGGCAATGGATGCCCTACATCCGCCCGAGAAGGTGTTCTTGTATTCCTTGCACCGGGTGCTCGTAGTAGGGGGTTACAAGCTAGGCGAGAGGGAGTTCGGCCCTAGATCTCTCGTGAGGGGAGGTGATATGAATTACGTAACGAGGTGTGTTGTTCATGCGAGTATCTCGTGATTCTATCCGTCGCCCTAGAAACGGTCCTGGCTGCCTCCTTTTATAGCCGCAGGGAGGAAACCAGAGTACATAAGAGAGCTACACGTGGAGCAAGGACTATTCGATGACGATTTACTCCCGGAGCAAAGCATGGCGTTGTCGTGGGAGTTCCCGTGAGATGTCTAATCGGTATGGTCTTCACCGCAAGTAACATGATGCGCATTTATTGACTTGGTGGATTGCAGAGGCTCGGCGGCCTTCAGAGGTCGGTCGTGCCGAGGCCTGCCGTGCCGAGGCTCACAGCCGAGGCCGAGCCGCCGCCGTGCCGAGGTCTCGAGAAGTGACCCAAAAGTATGAGGGTCTCAGCAGCACCATCAAAGCGGAATAGTGCGAGACGCGGCGCCTTGCTGGATACGGTACCGTGTTGTCGTGAGGGATGGTAAAAAGGTGATCTCGACCGCTGTCCCGTCGCTTCCCGCTGCAGCCAAGACCGCCGATCGTGGCTTACGAGTGGGTGTGGCCGAGTGCATTAATCGGATGTGACAAACCGCCAGAGAAACTTTTGAGGCGGAGGCGACGAGGTTGTGGGACGAGCCCGCCCTCGGCGAGGCGGAGCGGCCGATTCGTTCGAGGCCCTTCCGAGGGGGTCTCGGCGAGGCGGCGCGGGCGAGGCGAAGTAAGATCGTGAATCCGAGGCCCCTGCCGAGGGGGCTCGGGCGAGACGGAGTGGTCGGTCCGCCGATTCCGAGGCTACAGAGAACCCGCTCGACTCTCCACGCTATGGCGATGTCCTTGGTGCAGGAGTTAGGCAAAGACAAAGTGGTCGGTAACCCCGCCTGCAGGCCGCCTCGGATGGCGGGGGGTTGACGCGACCGACCGCAGTAGCCGGTCACTTCGCCGCTCTGCGCCATCGCAAGCGTCTGCCGGAGTGGTTGGGCGCTGGATGTGACGTTCGGTCGAGCAGTTTGGTCAAAAAAGGCGGTCACGGGTTGGTGCCGAGCCGGCCTCGCGAATCGGAGAATCGGCACTTCTTCCGAGGCCCCCGGCGTAGGGGGCTCGACGAGGGGGCCTCGACGGGGGGCCTCGGGCGAGGCGGTCTCAAGTAGTCGGAGAACCGTTTGCTTCCGCTGGGGCTCGGCGACGGGGTCTCGGGCGAATCGGAGATTTCGGCCGAGACCTCGTTTGTTTATTCCGTTGGTTCTATTTTTAGGGTCTAAGCAGTTTTTCGATCTTTGCTTGGGGTACCCCATTTTCTGGTATCCGACAGCCGGCGTGTGTGCTTGAGGGAGAGACGGCTAGCATTTAAGTGTATATATACTTGCGGCTGGTTTTTAGTACCGCTTTGTAGCTTCGGTCTACGCTGGCGGATACTTTGTCACCGTTGTTAGTGGCCCCCTCTCTTGTAAATGCTTTGACGGCGAGAACGTGCTAGCCGTCTCCTTGCTGGATGCTTTGTCGCGATGGTCGGCTCGGTCTACGCTGGTGGGTGGAAGAGGAATTTGGGGGAGGAAGCGGGAATTAAAGAGGGATTTAGAAAGGCTGGTACTGGGCCACCCACGCACACGTACGGCCCAACAGCCCACTGCCCACCAGCTCATAGTAATACCACCCAGTTCAAGGCACCATGTCGCCGGCTCGCCGCCGTTGGACGCCGGCGATCGAGATGCCCATCCGCTCCCGCTCCGTCAACCTCCTCCACCACCTGGCGCCGCCGCGGCCGCGGGCGGCGCTCTCCCTGAAGACGGCTCCACCCGTGAGTGCCTCGATTTACTTCTTTCATTTCGTAGGTTTGTTTATGTTGGGATTTTTTTTTCAATTAATGTCGGTGTTCATCAATCAATGCCAGGCCAAGGCAATGCAAGGAAGAGACAATTCAAGAATCCGAGTAGTCGATTTACAAGTTTATGCCCACCCTAGTTCTTACTTACAGATAAGATACGGGAATATACCATGGAGTAAATTAAGGAGTCCATATGGTCAACTCAAAATGTATAATAAGGTATTCTAAATATCTAGGGGCTGGATGCATCAGGATTTCAATCATGTATTGACACCATCTGATCTACTTCACACCATGCCGGTCAAGCAAATCACTTAAAACTGACAGGCGAAGCCAGGTGCCGGCTCTCGCCCTTGTTTCTTTTGTCTGACTGTTGGAGTTTCAGTTCAATAGTATACTAGTATGTTTCTCGGTGCTCTTGCTTTTTTTTCTGTTCTATATTTGCTTAAAATTTGGCCACAGGTCTTAACTTGCAGTATATCTGGGGCTGTGTTAACTCTGAACTTTGCCTGATCCTAATGCATTGCAATGGCAGAGCATACGAAAATTGAGGCCAAGGTTGATGATTACATTACAGGAAACTGTACGATGGGTTCAGCCTGAGGACCTTCCCATCCGTGGTGGCAGTGTTATTGCTTGGTCAATGGATGGAGGCATGACAGTTCTATCGAGGAGCTGAAGGAGAGTGCTTCCATGCTCAAGGAAGAGAAGGAGAAGGTGGCTTCCACGACTGCGACGGCATCAAGCTCTGCTTATGCTTGCCTCTGAGTCTGAGCTGACCATCACTGGTGGCATGTCCGTGAGCTGAGATCAGAGGCTGACTGAATCTGCACCTCTTCATTCCGAAAGAGCTGCACCTCCAGTTCATGCCAGGAAACAACGAACAGGCTAGCAATTCTCAGATTCTTTCTGCAGTTTTTTTTTTTAATGGAATGCTAGGTTGCTCCTATGAATTTTTGGGCTAGCTAGTTCATGCCAGGAAACAGCGAACGAGCTTGGCAGTCCATTTGCCTCAATTGTACGCGTGAGCCAGTGAAAAAAAAAACGAGATCAAACCAGGAACTAGGTGGTTTTTCATTAAGAAGAGAAATAGGCACCCAAAGAGGACTTGAACCTGGGTGGTTGGGTGCATGACCACACCTCTCACCCAACGAGTTGAGCTAGACTCACTTCCTCATGAGCCAGTGAAAGAAATAGGAGGTTCCGGAGGGATGTTTTTTCCAGTAAAATTCATGTGAAATCGTAGGGTGCCAACAATCCTTTGTCAGCACTCCTAGAGGGACACCAAACTGAACGATTGACTTGCAGATAACCCAACCTGCCCCGCCCATTATTTTTTCTTTCCAAGGCAAACAACCAGGGGGGAGGATTCCAACTGAATTTTGCATTCTAACATGGTGGTATAATAACTAGTATAGTTTACAATGTAACGCACGGACAGAGCCCACCTTTATTCATGATGCATGTACAAACTCATGTGCAAACCAAATGTAAGCATTGCAAACTGTAAAACTTAAGAGTACAAACATTAAATCCTCAAATGTAGTGTAAGAGTGCTATATTTTACTTTTGAGTATATAAAGGGCCATTGGTCTTTCTTCTTTTGGACTAATCTTCGTAACTCCAACTCCACTTAATTCTGATCTCTGTTTTGACAGGTTTTTCGTGTCATTATAGCCCAATTCACAACCACTTGCACGTAAACCCAGTCATATATGTGGTCCGTAAATGAGAAGCAATTGATTCTCCATTTCCTCTTGAACAAGAAGGCAATGAAGACTGTCCAAAGACCCACAACACATCCTATGCCCATGCCGAGGTAGAACGAAACTTCTTTCTCTTCAGGGCCACTCGGAGCTGTGTCAGTTGCTGAACAATTGTTGGGGAGAGGTGGACCGCAGAGACCTGGGTTGCCAATATAGCTGGATGCCTGATTCTCCAGAGTTCTCAGTTGATTCCCAGATGGTATCCGCCCAGTTAAATCATTATAGGACAAGTTCAAGCTGACCAGTGATGTTAGATCAGACAAACTGTTAGGGATTTCACCAGAGAGCTCATTATGAGATAGATCAAAAGATTCTAGTGCAAGTAATCCCCCAATACTTGAGGGGATTCTACTGCTGAGATGATTCCATGACAAGTTCAAGTTTCTCAGTGCAATGAGCAGCCCAATTTCTTCAGGTATTTGACCTGTTAAACTGTTGCAAGACAAATCAATGCTTACCATGTAAGCAATTCCACTTGCAAATTCAAGCTGTTGACCTTTGGTGACCACTAATAAACTATCAGTTCGAACAGGTCTGTACAGGAAAACACCAACAAATCCAGTGTTGGTAACACTGAAAAGTGCACTATTGTTATTGGGAGTATGAGTCATAGCTTCCAGGTTTCCAAGTGACAGTGGTATGTTCCCTGTGAAGTTGTTGCATGCAAGGTCTAAATATTGAAGCCCCTTCATCCTAGTGATTTGGATGGGAATGCCACCAGAAAACATATTTGAGCGTAGCCGTAAAAACGACAAATCCGATGAAATTTCCCCAATCCATGATGGTATGCTCCCAGAAAATTTATTGTATGCTAGATCAAGAAATTTTAACTGTTTACTCCTCTGAAGAAACAAAGGGAATGTTCCTGAAAGGTTGTTGTTATTCAAGTTAAGCAACTGAATATTTGATGCTTCGGACCCATGAAGGCAATCGGGCAGTGTCCCGTTTAGTAGGTTTTCTGATAGGTCCAGAAATTTCAACTGCTGCAACTGAAGCAAGGAGCAGGGAATGGTTCCAGAAATCGAATTATTGAAGAGAAGTAGTGTCCTCAGCATTGGTGCCCCAATATCCGATGGCAGTGTGCCTGATATATTGTTTTCAGAGAGGTCTAAGGAGCCTAGATTGTTTGGAAGTTTAGGAATCGGGCCAACAAGTTGGTTAGAACTGATGTCCAATGAATCTACTCTCAAACTGCTGAAATATGTGGGAAGCCTGCCAACAAGCTGATTTCTTGACAAATCCAAAATACTGATAGTACTTAAAGTTGCAGTCCAAAACTCATCAGGTATGTAATCATTTATTCTTGTGTTTGAAATATCTAGTGTGTTAATTGGCTGGCTGCTGAGCCATGCTGGAAACCGAGGCCCTAGCACACAAGAGCTGAAACCAGCTGAAATTAATCTGAATGGGGGGTTCCATGTATTCTCTACCCTCAGAGTCAAGGAATTATCAGATATCCAGAGATGTCGTAGAGAAGACATATTTGTAAAGTGATCTTCAGTGATTATACCCTGCAGATTATTGGAGCTTAGCCACAGCTCTTCCAAATTTATGAGTTCTCGTATTGCAACAGGTATCTCTCCTGACAGATGATTGTAGCGGAGCCAAAGTGTTGTCAAACTGCTAAACTCCCCTAGCAGAGGTGGCAAGCTCCCTGTCAAATTGTTATAATCCAAGTAGAGTTGTTGCAACCCTTGCTTTGGCAACCTACGCAGTAGTTCTGCTATGTCCATGCTGATGAAGTTATTCCATAGTTGCAGGGTTTGTATATTCTTTAGGTTCCCTATGGTCGATGGCAAAGGGCCAGTGATGCTGTTATTGTAAAGATTCAAATATTGTAGGGAGGTCAAGTTACCAATTGTGTCAGGAATAGGACCTTGGATTCCGCTGTTTGCAATCCAAAACGTTTGGAGACTCGGTAGATTCCAGAACAGGTTCTTGGCTCCGAGAGACGAATAAAATGAGTTGGAACTGAGATAGAGCTGCTCAAGGGACGTGAGGTTTACATGCGACGGGGCAGGAATGATGTTCTGAAGTCCACAGGAACTTAGATCAAGGTCCGACAGAGATGGAAGCATGTTGATGGCATGAGCCCAATCGATGACCGCGCTGAGGTTCACCATATACATACTCAGTGTCTGTAGCTTGCCAAGGCCTGACACCCAGGCAAGATCAGGGGAGTATAAACTTTGTGAAGCTTCTTCGCTGTTTATAGTAAGCTCAAGCAAATTTGAGAGGTTGCCTAGGTGCGGAGGGATTCGCCCACCGAAATTGGAATAGCTAAGGTCAAGATACCTCAAGCTTCTGATGGCACCGATGAGCTCTGGGATTGGTCTACCCCCAAAGTTGTTCCAGGAGAGGTCCAGTTGCTGTAAGTGTCGTAAAGAAAGCAAGGACGAGCTTACCTCGCCTCCTATGGTTCCCACAAGCTGATTGGTGTCAGGATCCTTGCTGTTGATCTGGAGCTGGATGACATGGCCGGTTTGGTTGCTGCACTGAACGCCACTCCACTGGCAGCAGTCTTGCCCTGCTTGCCATGACGACAGGTAGTTGCCCAGATCGGTGAGACCAGCTTTGAGGACAAGAAGGGCATCACGCTCTCGGGGAATGCAGAGAGTGCTTGGTGGGAGTGCTGGTGCAGGCGCGGCTGGGGCTGATGAGCTCTGCTGGGCAACGATGAGGAGGCAACACATGGAATGGATTACTGTAACTTGGATCAAGTGCTGAATTGCTGTAACTTGGATCAAGTGCTGGGCCATTTTTGGATTGCGCACATCCAAGGACATGGGCGCCAGCTTCCGCTGTGGTCTATCTTTCTCTCTCGGGTGAGTTTCATCAGTCTTTAATCTGCGGCTCTGTGTTTCTTCATGCATTGAGGCAGAAACTGAAAATAGGTGGGGGGGTAGTCTAAACTCCCAAAATACACGTCATGGTCACTAAAGTTTCTTTTGACTCAGCTAATTCCATGCCGTGTTCTTCTTATTGTATACTTGTATACTGACCGAAGAAAACAGACAATGTCTGCAAGAAATGGCCCCTTCTTGACATAGTTGACGAAAAGATCCAACAAGAAATTTCTTCTGAATCAATTGATGCCGATTGTCCTTTTATGTGGACGCAACTTCATACCCAGCTTTATGTGCATGGACTCCGATAGTGCCTAAGTTATTCTAGACCATAGATATTGCCAAATTTTCTTTATGTGCTTAATTGCCTTCACACTATGAGTCCAGTGCAGTCTTTGTCAGTTTCCAACTGACGACACCAGCGATGACTCGGAAGCACCCGAAATTCCAACCGGATGTCATATCCATTGACAAAGTTTGGCAAATTTCTGTGGGGGGGATTTTTTTAGAATTGCTTTAGTGCACGCCTTTTAGAAATTTGTACGCATCGTAAAGCAAGTCATCAGTTAATCATTTTTAATTATATAAGTATTTACAACTGTGCTTTGCAACGGAATCCACAAACATTTCAACGCTAACTGAATACATGATTTTTCATTGCGATCTTTAAGCTCTGGATGGTGGACGTTCGAAGGAAATGACGACTAGTTTGATCTTTGATACTTTTATTTCTTTTAGAGGTCGTTTTATATCTTATTATGAGTCTTTTATTATGCTAGCCTTTATTTTTTTTAGAGTTAAATACACTGGCGGCCCTTAAACTTGGAACTATGTGCCACTTAGGTCCACGAAATCTCAAACTCGAAATCCAGCTCCCTGAACTTGTTAAGTCGTGCATCGCAGATCCATGCCCCTTCATGTAGCTGGTGCCTAGGATAAATTTTATAAAAAAAAACACCTCCCTCTTCTTCCCCTTCTACGAGGCCACAGACCCGGTTACGCCTCCGGCCTCCATGTCGCTGCTCCTCTGGCTGCAGGGGCGGGCCCAGCTGCTCTGGCCTCCTGGGCAACTTCTTCAAGCTCGGGCCCTGAACCCTGATGGCGTCTCCCTCTCGCGCAACCCCTTCGCGTGGAGCTACGCGGGCAAGTACATCCCCGCGGCGGGGGCGCACATCCTGGACGCGAACACAGCGCTGCTAGAGGCGCAGCACGTGAACCTGGGACGCTCCAGCACCGGCGCCACGTCCACATCGTCGGGCTCCACCACTGCTATGGTGGTTGGCTCCACCACTCCTCCGCGCGCAAGCAGAAGCACTAGTGGCTCAACTTGGAGGTGCTTAGGTCACCAGAGATGCGCCGGAGCAGCTCGGCCGAGGCGCTCCACGAGTGACGCCACGAGCGCATGCGACAGAGGGAGCAACATCCTCGGCACTCGCCTCGTGCAGTCGCACGGACCAGAGCGGGCGCCGGCGGTGCCGGCGGAGGGTGCGGCGAGCGCCTGGTGCTGCATGTGCGCCGCCACGACCAACCCGCGTGCTGCGGCCTTACCTACAGCATGTGGAGTCCGTGGCCTACGAGATGAAGCAGCACCGCCACGAGCTACGGCAGTTCGCCAACGCCGACGTGGACGCGGCTACGGGCGCGACACGCTAGGCGTCGGCTTCCTCAAGGGCCGCGCCTACTACCACCGCCTCGGTCGCATCTAGCGTGGGAGCTACCTCCTCCATGGCCCGCCGGGCACCGGCAAGTCCACATCGACCTGTCACGCGCCGACGAGGAACTCCACGCGTTGCTCCTACACACCACCTGCGCCGCTTCGTCCCTCGCCGACGTCGTCGTGGCGCGCGAGGGAGCGTTGTGCCAGGGTGTTCACCATGCGCTGGGCAAGGACACCATCGACGCCTTGCGGTCTTGTGCGGGCGCTAATTGGATGGCCACATCCAGTTCACACTCGCGACTTCGAGGCGTTCAAGGCGTTTGCCAAGCAACTATCCGGGGCTCAAGGACCACAAGCTCGTGCGCGCGATCACCGTGGTGGCACACGATCATGAAGCGGTCCAGCGCCTCTTGCCCGAAGCCCGGAAGTCGAGTCAAGCGCTTGGTGACCTCGCCCAGCAACAAGATGACGGAGTTGTGGGCGCTGGAGGGCCTAAGCGCTGCTTGGGCGGTGTTGACGAGCGCCGCCTGCGCGCGCCGCTTCCCGCATGCGGATGAGCTTTGGCGAGGTGCCGTTCTCGACGCTGGCCATGAGCTCGTTAGCGTGCCCATCTCAGCTGAAGATACGAGATGACAATGATATGATGTTTTTGTTAGATTGATCTCTCAACCAATAAGCCCAACGGCCTATTGGGCCTTGGTCACGCGCCCTGATCGGGGGCGCCCAACCCTACATGGTTGGTGGGCCCCCGTCACACTGCGCTATATAAAGAGGTGGGGGGCCGGCGACTCGAGGCACGAGGTTCGCCGTGAGCCGCAAGCCCCACCGATAAACCCTAGACCGATCTAAGAGGCGCGCAGCCAATGACGAAAGTCTACCGACTTCGTCGTTGTCATCGCTCATTACGTCGTCTGCTCAGACCGCATCGACGTCTGCGGCAACCTCTACTCCACCCGTCACGCCCGCAGGTTGCCTCCATCACCGGCCGAGATGGCCAGCTCAGCATGACCCCGAGGGCTCGGGTTCAACACAAAGCACCCCTCTCCTTCCTCTCACTCTCTGCTTGTTCTAGTTCATCATGTTCAACAGCACATCCGCCTAGATCTACCCTAGTCGATCCACAGAAACTAACAATGGTATCAGAGCAAGTATGTCTAGTCGTAGATCTGGATCAGGGAAGAAGAGAAATTCGAACCCTAACCCTAGATAGGGTTCGGGAAAAGAAAAGGAAAGTTACCCGAGAAGAAAACAAATCGGGGAAAGCCGTGGTCGCTCGCTCGGTGACTAACTGAGAAAGGAAAAGAACCGACTTCAAATCGGGAAAAGAGTCCAAAATTGAAACCCTAACCCTAGCTAAATAGAGAAAGAATGGAGGGGGAGGGATCCTACCCGGGTCCTCTCCCGCCCCGAGCCAACAGCAACGAAAACCGAATGAAAAGAACCTAACCCTAACCCTAAAAGGGTCAAAAGAAATAAGATGGCGTGGTGAGGACCTACCTGGACCCCCTTCCCCATCACTGCCGGTTGTCTTGGACGCCGTGCGGCAACAGTGCACGGAGCCACCGTCGACTTTTTTGGTCTGTGGGCGCGCTGCCGCCTGCATCGGCTGACGGCGGCGGCAAGCTCTACCGGTGGCCGAGGGGTCCCGCAATGGCGCCATCCTTCCTTTCCTTCCGCCGCCATTGAGGCTCATTGTGGCTCGTGCGCTTGCGCCAAGAGAGAGAAGGGGAAGAGAGAAATGGAACTAGGTTTTGGGGGAGGCGCGACGGCCGGGGTTTTGATGCCCCGAGCTGTGCGCTCAACCGTCCGATCTGGATGGACGGATGGAGATGATCGGGCCGGCGTTGCGGCCCAGGCGGGCGCGCGCTTGAGGCGCGCACGTTGGGCTCCGCGAGCTGGGCCGCGCGTGCGCTGCTCTGGGCCGAAATGGCCGAACACAGTGAAATGTTTTCTTTTTTATTTTCTAGAAACTTTTGATTCATATTTGGTAAATTCGAACTGAATTTTGATGTTGATATCTGTACAATTTTGATCTAACGTCAATTTTGTTCAGAGAATAGTAAAGTGCAGTAACAATTTCTGGAAAATAGAATTAAAAGATTTATTAAAATTTCCGCTGCGTATTTAAAGTAATTATGGACTTTTAATTAAATTCGAACCAACGGGAGAATTTTATTTTAAGAGCCAAGAGATAAATATGAGTTGATTATGATATTGTTATTTTCTGACCAACGTTGTTAATAGCAATATTATAATTTTAATGATTATGCATTATTTCTATTTCTGCCCAACGGTGATGTAGATTTAATGTATAAAATAATTGTCTGTTTTAATTTTGACCAACGTTAAACTAAGGCATGCAATTATTGTTGTTATTTCTGTTCTCACACTATTTGAATTGTGTTTTCAGGAGGTTACAACTTGATGAGTTGTATCAAAGAGATCCCCACTCTAAAAGGTGATAACTATATTGAGTGGAAGAAAAAGATAGACCTTGCTTTCATCCTCGCTGAGGTGGACTGGGTTGTCACCACACCGTGCCCTAGAGAACCTGTGGCACCGGTGAGGGAGACAGATGAGACTGATGCTGCATGACAGAACAGAGAGCGGGATTTTGCTCCCGTAAAGATGTCCTATGACCTTGAGCATAGAAAATGGGTCACTGCCAACAAGAAGTGTTTGGCAGTGATAAAGAACACGATTGAGCCTGCTATTGTGGGCTCAATTCCAGACTGTGACACGGTCACAGAGTACCTAGAAAGAATAAAGAGTCAGTTCACTGGCTCTTCAAAGACATATGCAACCCAACTAATCAAGCAGCTGGTAACAGAAAGGTACTCTGGTGGCGGCAGTGGCATTAGAGAGCACATACTGAGAATGAGCAATCTGGCATCTAAGCTCAAACCAATGGATTTGGCACTCAAGGATGAGTTTCTTATTCATTTGATTTTTGCTTCTTTGCCCAAAGAATTTGACACCTTTGTTGTTAACTACAACATACAGCCTGAAAAATAGGATTTAGAAAAGCTCATAGCCATGTGTGTGCAGGAGGAGGAAAGAATAAAAGTTTCACAGGGTGGTACTGTCAACTACCTAAAAGATAAGAAAAAGAACTATAATAACAACTCTTCCTCCAAGTCATCTGGAAAAGGTCTCATGCAACAGTCTTAGAACAAGCAATTCCCAGTGGATAAAGACCAGTGTCTCTACTGCAAGAAGACGGGACATTATAAAAAGAATTGTCCTAATTTTTTAAAGATGATTATGAAAAATAAAGGTGAGAACATCATTACATTTGTAAATGAATCATTGTATGTAAAGTTTTCAAAATATACTTGGTGGATTAATTCAGGTGCAACTATTCATGTTG